TTTGAACTCTTCATCTGTTGTATTTATCTCCCTCCCAACAGCGACAATGCATTGTATGAACAGTGCTGTTCATGTGTTCAAAGACTGATGGATCAAGCGGGTGATCGTGGTTTGGTTGTTGTTGTTGGTGCCTACAATCTACCCTTCTTGAATTGGGACCATGATGATGAATTGCGATGTTTGCTACCTACAAATACGTCTTCTGTGGTTGAATCGTTCATCGCTAATGGTCTGCATCAGTTGAATCATTATGGGTAATGCGAATGGAAGGATACTAGATTTGGTTTTCTCTACTGATATCAATGTACTCGAGCTTGTGGAGCCCCCTTCACCGCTACTGCGTGTTGATGAACACCATAAACCATTGGTGCTTGTGATTGAAACTGCAAGCGAATGTGAAATTTCCCGAGCAACTGATCCGTTAGATTTTGACTTCAAGCGATGTGATTTTGCAGTTTTGATCTCAATGATTTCGGACGTCGGATGGGTGAATCTTCTAATTGGTTGCAGTGTCGACGAAGCGGTATCGATATTCTACGACAAGCTTTATGGAATCATCAGCGAAGTTGTGCCTCTAAAACAACGGATCGACACCCACAGGAAGAAACAGCCATGGTGGAACAATGAACTGCAACGGCTGCGAAATCGTCTACGCAGGGCAAGGAAGCGTTACTTTCGGTCTAGGAATGAACAGCATAAGGCTGAGCTGCGTGACTTAGAGAGCGAATATAACTCTTTGCATGTACAATTCTTTCGCTGCTACATTCATCGACCTGAAGCAAGTTTGAAACAGGACCCCCAAAAATTCTGACAATATGTGAAAACCCGTAAGCAATCCAACAGAATGCCTCGACATCTTCGTTACCAAGGTGAGGCACCTGAATCTCCATCAGAATCTGCAAATCTGTTCTCGGCGTTCTTTCGAAGTGTGCAAAGTAATAACCGACCACCTTTGACTGAATCGTACTTGAGCAATTTGCCGCACTACGACTTGAACGTGACCGTCTACAACTTCTCTCGGCAAGATGTTTTTGCTAAGCTGGTTTCTATCGACACTTCGAAAGGAGCAGGTCCAGATCGTCTGTCACCTTTCTTCATCAATCGGTGTGCGGAGTTAATCGCTTTGCCTGTGAGTATACTCTTCAACAGATCTCTTTCGGAGGGCATATTTCCCAACAAATCGAAAACTGCAGCCATCACTCCCATTCATAACAGTGGTAATGTTAATGACGTCGAAAATTATCGTGCAATTTCGATTTTGAGTTGCTTTCCTAAAGTCTTGGAGAGTCTTGTCCATGATTGTTTGTATCGTAACGTTCAACATGTGATATCAGAGAGTCAGCATGGATTTGTCAGGAAGCGGTCAACAACAACCAACCTGATGAGCTACGTTTCTTCTCTTGTGGACAGCCCTGAAAAGCAACAACAGGTCGATGCAGTTTATGTCGACTTTTCTAAAGCATTTGACAAAGTGCCGCATGCACTGGCAGTGGAAAAACTCAAACGCATGGGATTCCCTCAGTGGCTTACTCAATGGATTGAATCGTACTTGTCTGAGCGTTGGGCTTTTGTACGCCTCGGTGGAACCTCATCTGAAACGTTCTCAATTACTTCCGGGGTTCCCCAAGGAAGTCATTTGGGACCCATTACTTTTCGTGCTGTTTGTTAACGATCTGTGCGGACTCATCAGATCCCCGAGGTACATGTTCGCTGATGACTTGAAATTCTTCCGCCTGATAACCTCCATGGTCGATTGTTGCGCTCTTCAGATGGATATCGACTCGCTTCTTGAATGGTGCTCATTAAACGGAATGGAAGTGAATATTCGTAAATGAAACATCATCTCGTTCAACCGATCTAGGACAACTGCCATTTTCGATTATAAGATGAACGCTTCAAGTGTCAACCGTGTGTCATCAATCAAGGATCTTGGACTTATACTGGACAGTAAGCTGAAATTCACCGAGCACATTGCAACAAACACCGCCAAAGCAAATGCGATACTTGGGTTCATCAAGCGCAACACGCAGCAATTTGAGGATGTATACTGTTTAAAAACATTGTATTGTTCGCTAGTGCGTAGCATACTCGAATATGGCGTTCTAGTATGGGCACCGTATCACGTCACGCTTTGCTATCGCATTGAAAAGATTCAACGTAACTTTGTCCGCTACGCTCTACGACTGTTACCATGGAACGATCCGGTTGTTCTTCCGCCGTACGAGGATCGCTGTGCTTTAATTCGTCTTTCAACATTGGCTGATAGAAGGATTCTTCTGCAACGGCTGTCCATATTCGACATTCTGGACAACAATGTAGATTGTGCTGAACTTCTAGGGAAAATCCAGTTCAATGCACCGGCTAGGCAGACGCGACAAAATGACCTTCTCCGTATTCCTTAGCATCGTACAGTATACGGTCAAAACAATCCACTGGATGTTTGCTGCCATCGTTTCAACGAATCGCGTGAAGATTATGATTTTAATATTTCGAAAACCATGTTTAAAAATAGGATTAGTTCTTTAACTAGACATTAATAATTCTGTCTGTGCGTTTTTATTATACAAAGACAAGTAAATAAAAAAAATAAAAAAACATCTCGATACCTTAAATTGGTATGGATGAGCCTGACATAAGAGGTAGAATACCAAAAAATAATACAAAAAAAATGTTCCCACAATACCATTCCAATACCAAATAATGCAAATGCAATACCAAAACAATACCACGCAGGTATTCTTTTGGTATCCAGATATCAATTTTTGTTATGTACAAAGTATTTTGCATTTTTTTTTTGTACTATTCTTTGGTATTTTACCTCTCATGCTGATCAACACCAAATTTTGGTATCAGGACAGAATTAAGAATTCGTTAGTTATTTTCTCCTGCTCAGGAAAAGTTATTGGATTGGCATTAGAAAATCTTTTAAATAACAAATTATGCTATTCTGGCACAAGAAAATAGCCTCGATCGAATAGTCAGTTATTATAATAACTACATTATTTATTAGTTTGTTGTTCGTAGAACATTATCTTTGGTATTTTACCTCGTAGCTCATCAACACCATATTTATGTTGACAGTTGTGCTATTTACATACCTGTATTTGTAATTCATAAGTTATTTTCTCCTGCTCGGGTAACGGAAGAAAAAGACTTGTTCCTCAGGACGCTGGAAAAAATAGCAAAGGGAAACTGTTTATACCTGTTCGCTGCCAGGAAACGTATTTTTTTTTCACCTTTCATCACAAAAGTTGCTCTTTATATCAAAGCACACGAAACACGTCGTCCGTGGACTCGTGGGTGTACATTGTGTAACGATTAAAATGCACATGCACACAGGAAGCTAACAGCACTAAGCAGTACCCCACTGCAGTCATTGCATTGTAGTAGTTTTCCTTTTCTCTCAAACGGCGGAACAATGATTAAAGGGTACACACCCGGTCTCTGGAACCGGTGTAGATTGTACATCAGCAGCAGCAGCAGTACCAGTTAGTGCCGCACAAGAAGAAAAAATGGTTCGGTCGGATTGTAGAAAGGAAAATGCCGTACAAAAGAACGCTAATTACTGCTTTGCTTCAGCTTTTCCTCTGGACGTAATTTGCAGATCGTTTGAAGACGAAACCAGCACTAGTATGGTGGGGAGTACGTTTGTGTTAGAAAAACGGTCGGTCACTGGGAGGGAGGGCCGTTCGGTGGTAGGAGAGCAACCTCTTGTTATAACGATCTCAAACAGCTGCCGGCACAATACACCACAGTGCTGAGTGAGGAGAGATGGACGAGAGAGACAACCTGAGTGGGTACTTGAGTGAATTGTACATAAAACTCTGCAACATCTCACTTCTGGATGTCGATGAAATGTACAGCATCGGAAAAAAAAGTGTCCTTCTACCCACAATGCCACAATATGGCTAGTGTGTACATCGTGCTTTAGTATATTTTCTTTAAATGTCGCTGTTTTCCTTTTTTGACACTGCCTAGACTTAACCACTTCAAATGGATGTCAAATCATCGTTTTGCAAGAAGAAGACTTCTTTTTAATTTGTTGTTGTTACTTTAACACTCTGGGGTCATTCGTGACATGTCCGCGGATGAGGTTGGAACTCGTGACTTTAATGTTAACCACTACACCGAGGCCGTTCCTAAGTATTTGAATAAGAATATTTCACATTCATGAAATTTGATAACATAAGCAAGTTGATCATCAAAATCCATCATCCTCCAAAGACTCCTAATGAAGGTTTTTAAATTTTTCAAAATCTAAGCTAAAACATTTTTAAAAAACCATGATTTAGGGTTTTTTCAGATCCGAGATTCAACAAATTTTGAAAATTTGGCTTTCTTCTCCATGGCTTTAACTGATACTTAATATAATGTTCACTACCACAATTGGGTTATTTAGCGGTATTGAGGTAAATACATATTCGTTATCTGCATTAAAAATGGAACCGAAATTCAAAATTTCACCAATTTTGGTACACTGAAAAAATCATCATCTTAGCGCCCCTTGGTGGGACTTATTTAGGGGGCGAGCTGTCAATAAATAGATTTAGTGCCAACGATCAAAAATTTAACCCAATTGTTAATTGAGCACTCTCTAAGCCGGTGTCAATTCTGCATTCGATTATAAGGACTTCTTTTCATGAAGAACAGGCAGCAGTCTGATTGTGCATTTATTTATTGAAAATCTTTGTGACAAAAAGAAACCTAATTTTCCCAAACTCCCCATCCCCTGTCGTTCAAGTAAAACAATAGTGGCTCGAACAACTTTAACAATTATCTGCAAAATTAGCTTAACTCAATTCACTGCCATTGTCGCAGGATGGTCGAGTGGAAACTGGAAACAAACAAACCTCCCTTCAGAATCTCGTGTGCTATGGTTTCCACAACCGGCAGGAGTTAATTTCAAACCAACTTTTCCCATTCGCTTCCTGCTCTGCTGTCCTTGCTCACATGAATTGCTCTGATGATGCTATCATTTTTTTTTCATCCTTTACTTTCAGCGCCCAAGGGCAGGAGTCCGCTCGGTGGCGACGTCTGGGTACTGCTAATTAAGGATGCCCGCCAAAATGATACCGATGTTTACGTGTGCGAAGTGAATAGCGATCCGGTCGTGCGGAGTTTTCATCCCCTGAGAGGTAATTATTACAATTTCTGTCTGACGATACACTGAGACGATACACAAGTGCACTTTGTACCCGACCACGAAACCTTACGACGACGACGAACATACTTAAGGAAAATCCTAAGGAAAATATAGAACCTTGTCGTAGTAGGAGTTGAACTTTTGCAATCGCTGAACAAAGAGAGAAAAAACTGTACCCTAATGGAAAACTGGAACGACTAGAGTCATACCTAAACTACACTTTCGAACAAGGATGCAAACAGAAACTTTGCTTCTACATGTTTTCCAGCGCGCCGCAAACTGCCAATCTTTCAGTGTACGTTTTCCTTCTTCCAACGAAAAACTGGTACAATTCCCAGACTCGCAGCGAATCCGCCATGCTTTTGAACTTTGTTCAAATTTTCCTACGCGTACCGTCAAGTGAAGCAAGTTTGAGGAAGACTTACCGTTGAACTTTTAATATGCTAGTGCTTTATTTTAGCGTGGATCTGTTCAAAACCATGTGTTCTAATCTGGTAACTGGGGTTGCATCCACTCACTTCGATATAGAACATGTTTTTTTCGAAATTATGAAATTATTAGGTTTTATGATGATATTTTGCACATGGGGAAAAAAATCGTTTCGAAATTCATGAACCACAAGTCAAGAGAAAAAAATTCGTTTACGAAAATACACCATGAATACAAATCATGAAATCGTAAACATTGTTTCGCAAAATAAACAAAAGCAACAAAATTCACAGAATCGTGAACTCTGTTCTGAAAATCATGAGTTCCCAACAAACATGGAATGCTTAATAAGAGCTTATTTAGTCAAAACTAAGCTTCTTCATCTAAGAAATGGCTTATTCAGCTGTTGATCAACTCAAATTGTTTGTTGGGTTGTGCTTAATATCGTGAACCTGTTCCATGAACCATGGCGTGTAAATGTCAACATTAAAATCATTTTCAATATTTTAAATGGAGCGAGGAAGTGGCAGGTAAACAACGGAAGGCTTGATGCAGATTCACCCCAAACACTCTTTCAGTTCAACAAATCAACATCACCCTCTACTTACATCGGAGCGGCGGGAGTAAGTACATCATATGCGTTCGGCAAGGGGGAAGAAAGTAATCCGCTTTACATATCAAATAATGAATTTCTATAAAATTTGCTTCAAAATTTCGATGTTTTAAGGTAGATTCGAGTCGTACGTAATGAATAATAACAAGCACCTGCCGATATTATCCGATTTCATACACTATTCATCAATAATGTTGGATGTGGTAGAATTATCGAGCATTATGCTGATGTTGTTTTTAGTGTGTTTTGTGATGTGAACTGTCACATTCTTGAGCACCTACTTGTGTGATTGTTGCATGTTCAAACTCTGGAAGAATTGATGGCCAAACGTGACCAAACCCAAGACCAAACGATAGGTGCCATCGATGCTGATCTTCATTGGATACCTGCGATTGGGGAAGTCTGTTGGGGTAGCGATGGAAATATGCGTTCCCGCTCTTCCTATAATGTGTGTAATGCGCTATACTATCACCTCAAAATTTCAAGAGCACTGCTGCCACCAAACATACAACAATGAAACTGGAACTTCACATTTGATGCAGCAAACAGGAAGTTCCAATTTCATGAGCGATGTCACAACTGTGTCCAAAATTTGGGCTCTAGAGCACTTGAAGTGATAAGGCATCTCCGCCTTCATCAGGCAATTTGTGGACTCTTCAAGGAATCACCATAAATGATTTTTGAACAACCTAAAGGCGAATCAGCTTTTATAATCAAATCTTTTGATGCTCTTTTCTTGCAAATCGAAACTCACCTTGCCAAATCATCAACAACTTTCTCTCCTATCCGATAGTGGAATTGGTGCAGTTTGCAAGATAAGGTCATTGCAAGTTTGCTGATCCACGCTTTAGTATTGTTGGTGGATAAATCTGTTCGTTAATTTATTGTTCAAAAATCATTTATGGTGATTCCTTGAAGAGTCCACAAATTGCCTGATGAAGACTGTGATGCCTTATCACTTCAAGTGCTCTAGAGCCCAAATTTTGGACACAGTTGTGACATCGCTCATGAAATAGGAACTTCCTGTTTGCTGCATCAAATGTGAAGTTCCACTTTCATTGTTGTATGTTTGGTGGCAGCTGTGCTCTTGAAATTTTGAGGTGATAGTATAGCGTATTACACACATTATAGGAAGTGCGGGAACGCATATTTAATGAATAAATTTGGGACTTTCGATCCCCCCGGCGTTCGGAGCTCCTTTTTTTCGAGGTTAACGGCCAGTTTGCGAAAATCACAATTCAATCGGTGTAAATATTTACATTATTTGACAAATCTCACGTAATCATGACAGCAGTAGGTCCAACAATCAATACGAAACTAACGATTTTAAATTGGCTCACTACTTGACTAGCCTATTGGTCCCAAACAAATCGATTAACGTATCCCATTCTAGTCAAAATTCTAGTACTACATAATGTTTGTTTTGATTCGTTATGAAAGTTTGACAGATAAAATGAGGGGTTAGTGGATTTTCCTATGTTTCGAGGGGTGAATCGATTAGCTTGGGACCGAAGGTAGTACCAGAGCTGAGCCAAAAAGTTGAGCACGTTTCTTCGGGACCTACTAGTCTTAGAGTTACCTCTATGGTAGGTCTCTTTTCTTCATTCAAATTGTTTTCAATAATCAAACGTCATGATTACCTGTGTTTTGTCAAATAAGGTAAATATTTCCATTGCTTGCACCAAAGAATTATGGGTTTCATGGATCACGAAATCCTGATATTTTGTAGTGTTTTCTATTATATTCTGCACCGTAACGTAACGAATGAACTCAGTGTTTATCGGATGATTTTTGACAGTTCAGTGGTACTGTTTACAACAGGGGTCTGGTTGGCGGTCATGTTTTTGATGCTATCATCTGCTCTTGTCTGCTCTTGCACCTTTGCTTGTTAGTCGATTCAAGTGGATTTGAGGTTTTAAAGAATATGACATCCTACTATGTTCGTTTGAAAAATATTCCTCTCCAAAAAATCTAAAAAAAAAATAATAATTTTTGTTTTAATTTTTTTTTTCTAAGTCCATGTAAACAAACCACTGCCAGATGTCAAAAAAGTGAGGTTAACCCGACGCGACGGTGCAGCTCCATATAGTCAGACGGGCCGTATATAAATAAGGCCCGTGATCTTGCCTAATGTCAAACGTATAGGATTGATGTGGGGTTGCCAGTCTCCTGGTTTACAAGCACTTAGAATTATTTTTTTTAAAAAATATTTAAAAAATCCAAATTTTAATTTGCATAATGCCAAGGAAATGCGCAGTTAAAGCACAAACGAAGTGACGGATGACTAACTGGCTATATGCTAGTTTTTTTTTTTTTTTTATTTGAGCAAAGTTGATTTTGTGATAAATGATCTGTGACAGTGTGTAAAGAGTGTATAATTTTGTCATCATTATTTATCATTATTTTGCATTTCAGTTTTGAGTACTAGTACAATTGGTGAAAATGCTAGTAAAATCCAGTAGAAGTGTTATCATGTGGTGCACTGAAAAATTCCAATAGCAGGTTCGTCACCAAAGTTTTCGAGCCGCTCCGTCTGTCACTTCGTTTGTGGTACCACTGAAGAGGCGTGAACTAAGTTCAAATAACTTTCTTAAGCACGCCATCGTTTATTGCCAATATGGTTGAAAATTTTAAAACTATAACCCTTGGGAAATTTCGAATTATAAATGTGCTAATTAGTTGGCCATTTTCAACCAGCCCGTCAATTTCCGGCAAGCGCTTCCAATAATTTGATATTACGTACACGCAAAATTGAGCATATTTGTAGTTCTGTGTCAAAATATCAGCTCAATTGATCATAACAAAACATAGTTGCAACTTGCCAAAGTTTGTATGAAAATCGGCCTGTTTATTGTGCTAATTTAAAGGCCACTACTGTACATCGTTTTGCTATGGAATTGCTGTATTTATATATATATTTCAACTATTTTAAAAACATGATCAATTTATCGGGATCTGACTGCAGTCCACGACTCGCTGGTAGGTCGCGACCCGTAGGCCCCAGACAGAGTGAAAGCTGGTGACCGAGTGGACAAAATATTTTATTAATATTCCTTTTGCTGATTAGCTCGGTTACCAGCTTTCACTCTATCAGGGACCTTAGAATGAGAAACGCTGTTTAACAGTGTTGGAACTTCTCTGCAAAACTGCTGGATAATTGCCCCTACCTCGGGCTGTCATTATGCCAAGAGGCTTAGGCTTAGAAACTGGGAAATACATAACGCTTGGATATCGGTAACGCCTCTTCCTACTTCAGTACGTAGCAATTGTTAAATTTTGCAAGCTACACACATTTCCCTAAACGAATCCAACAGATCTTTTCAAAACTTCAGTAAAAATATTGCATTCAGATTTTGTCATGCTTAACAATATTTTATCATCGACGTGTCCAACTTCCCCCCGGCCAACAGTTCACAGAGACGAACGAGTTGTCTCGCCGTTCACCGTGTGGTTGACGAGCAATTCGTGAACGGTAAAAGTTTTACTTTTGCTCCGGTGAGTTTTTGTACACATCCTTAACATGGATTTATCCCTCCATACCCTCAACTATGGAAGTATAAGGATGTATGCTTTCAATGCTCAAAGGATGGTATCCATAAATATTCAAACATGCTATGCATATTTGAAGCATTAAGAGGAAATTACTCAAAGATGTATTGTTTACATGACATCACATCGCATTCTCCAAAAAGCTGTAACATACTTACCAATTTATTTACAATTCTGATGCATACGATCTCATCTTTTAGTTCTGCTAACAGCAAGGCAAAAATCCTGGTAAGTATACAACTTTAAATTGAAACGAAGCGGAACGTGTTTCCCCACTAGACACGAAACAACTACCGGAAGACACAACAATGAACCGCTGTTTACATTTAAGTTCGGAGTTCGTTCCAATATGAAGCGTCTTTTACTCGCAGATTTTCTCGCATAACAGACGCCCACCTCCCGACCGTGCCCACATTAACGATAGACTCTGACTCTGACGAGAAAGTTTCGTGATTAAAATCTCTCCCCCCGATAGCGTGTCAACTAACCTTTCCCACCTGCACTTTCTACCTTTAATTTACAGTCAAAAAAGCAAGGAAAGCAAATACCACCGACGCCACAACAGGAGCAGTGTCAACTACTTCTCGTTCCAACGCGGAGGAAACTTCAGACGAGGACGAGGACGACGACGACGACGATGGAGAGATCACACCCGACGGAGTGCCAACCATTACACATGACTTCACCGGGTGCTGCCAAGCCAACAATGTCAGTGAAGCGTGCATGGGGTTCTGTGTGCTGCACAACATTTTGGACGGAGCCACCGGAGTGGAACCGGAACAGTGCGAGAAAGACTTCCCCAACATAGTGAGGTGCATGGCTGACGGTCGGAACCACGTGCCATGCTGCTTGGAAAAGGGCATTCCGGATCTGTGCCAAGACATGTGCCGAGGTGAATACACCCCCTTTACGGATCTCCTTAAATCGCGTGTATCCTGTGTGCAGCATACGCTCCCAGGTCTGCAGTGCATTCTGGATAACATCCAAAAACTCCCCTCCGAACCGCAATCCGTGTCCGTTGAAGCCGTCACCGAGCGTTCGCTTCAGGTCAGTTGGTCTCCACCGGAACAGCACGCCAAAACGGTCAAGTACTACCGGATCAATGCAACCAAGTTGCACTCGTTCGACCAGGACTTCCTGGCCAACGCAACCAAAGATAGTTTGATAAGCATGCAAGTGTCGGCCGATCAAAGCTCGGCCATCATTAGCAACCTTGAGCCATTCACCATGTACACCGTGACGGTTGCTGCCCACAATGATTTCGGATCCAGCCTGCCGAGCATACGGATTCGGGCCTTAACGTTGGAGAATGGCGTGATTAACAAGGAAACCAGCGTCGCCGTGGTTCCCGTCTTGCCAGGTAAGTGAGCACCATTTAAAAGTATCGAAGTAACTTATAATCAACTATAGGTTTAGCATAAAATCATCACAAAAAACAATTCAAAATCCATCTTAAAACATTAATCAAAAACAGAAATATCATTTGCATCGGTAACTAAGGGATGCTTTATTAGGTGCGATATTATTCGGGAAAGTGAGAAGAATTGATATGCTCATTATCAACTTCTTACTCACTCTTTCACTCCTCACTTACTTATCCTATGTATTTGCACTTTCCATTCCAATATCAAACGATCCAACCGAAAAATATGAAAAAGAAGAAGACAAGAGTCACAGATAAACTATCGCAGTAGCCCCTTCATTTATGCGGTGGGTGGTATTTCTCGACTGTTATTTAACCGATTGAGCTGATTTTCTGCAGATGACTAGTTTATGGTGGACACTAATCACAAACACTCCAAATACGATGCCTCCGCAGAACGTGTAACGGCAAGTTTGCAATGGCATTACTTTGCCATTTCTTGATGAATTTCTAAAATTGTGCTACTTCTAGAATTCCTAGGTTCTCTAGATTATTTTGAATGTAAAAATTTAAAAAAATAGGGTTGTCTACTTTATTCAAAAGCGAAAAGAGTCGTTACACTTTTTTTTAAAGGAGTGTTTATGGGTTTTGCAAGTGGCCTAAGATCCATAAATTAATGGGCTCAAATGTTCATAATTAGCCATAATATAGTCATGGTTCCTATATATGGATCCTGGAGACAACGGAACGGTCCTCCGGAAGATTCGGAACATCCGTAAAATTGGTCAATCCACGAAACTGATCCTAGAATTCCGAGGTTTTTTTGAAAACATTAAGAACTGTGATACCTGGTCAACCCATGTAGACCATTTTTAAGGATGTTCCAGCTCTTCCGGAGGACGTTCCCATGGCCTTCTGGGTACATGTTTATATCATGACCCCTAATTAATTTATATATCACAGTTCCAAGTGTTTTCAAAAAAAAACCGTGGATGTCTATGATCAGTTTCATAGATTGAACACTTTTCCGGATGTTCCGGATCTTCCGAAGGACGGTTCGATGGCCATCCTGGTCCATGTTTATGTTATGAACCCAAATTCTTTCTTATATCACAGTTCCTAATGTTTTAGAAAAAACTGCGGAGTTCTAGGATCAGGTTTATGGATAGACCACTTTTACGGATGTTCCAGATCTTTCGAGGACGGTTTCGTTATCTCCAGGTTCCAGGTATTCTGGTTAATTAAGAACATTTGTGCCCATTAATCTAAATTATGGATCTTAAGTCACTTGCAAAACCCATAAACGCAATTTAAAAAAAAAAACGTGTAACGACTCTTTTCGCTTTTGAAAAAAGGAAACGACCCTATTTTCAACCTTTCTGCAATTAAAATAATCTACCGAGCCTAGGAATTCTAGAGGTACCACAATTTTTTAAATTCATCAAGAAATGGCTAAGTTATGTCATTAAAAACTTGCTGTTAGACGTTTTTCGGAGGCTTCAAAGTCGGCGTAAAGTATTTTACCCACCGTATTCGGAGTGTTAAGAATCAGCGTTGAAGGATAGCCGAGAAATAGGTAGCCCTAGGAAATAATTGCATCAAAACATGCATTTTGACAGCTCTTTCGTTATGGTTTTACACGAATTGATTATAGACAGATCGATTATTGCCACATTGGCCACTTCAGAACAACCAAGATGCCATCGGAAGAAACACAAATATCATTCGACAACTATTTTCATCGGTTTGCAGGAATAAACTATCGATAGTCTCGCAATGGAAAAATATTCTATGTGCACCTATTTTAATAACATGAAAGCTCATGATAGGTATGTTCATCTCGTGATAGTTATCTAATTGTCACATAACGGTGTTATGTACCAGCTCTGATGCGGAGTCCCGAACGTGGGAGGATAAAGATTTCATGATCCAAGAGTAGGAGATTCCGAACTCGAAACATTGAGATCTCAGACTAAGAAAATGCTTAACATTCCATAATCTCAAAATCATACGAGTCGATCAAGAATGTTCGAGGTATAGGACTTAATTCGGCATTTCGGATTGAGTTATACTTAACAATCCCCGACTTAGAAAAAACTATCAAGATCCCAGGATGTTTACAATATAAAAGATCCATGACTTGGCGACACTATCACCGAAGACCGTCACGTATGTATGTATTTTAGTTTGTTCTCAAGATAAGAGCTATTGATGTTGTGCTTATGTGAATTCTATAAATAGCAAGCAACGATGTCCTAGTAATAACATTTCTGAACAGAAATGGTTTAATTTACACCAAGTTGAAGAATTAGAATGAAAACGCGCATGTCATATGATAGTTATTTGATAATTTTGTTTTTGGTCGAATGTTGTACTACCGTTTCTGTAGTGTAGGAGAGACGACGGTAGAGCATGAGAGTATAAATTCAAACAGACTTTTGCGAACGATAACGAAGCGAGTGTAGTAAAAACCGTTAACCGTTTCAACCCCTGTCCTGGATCCTGAAAACGCGCAAGATGGAAGCAGAAATTAACCCACGTTTCAAGTTTTTTTCGAGGTTATAAGGTGTTATTTTGTAAATTATTTTTCCTATCACACTTTGCAATTTCAAGAGCACAAATCTTAAGATTTAGAAATGTGAAAATTTCAGACATTGCTTGTTTCTCCGCAGCAAACAACAAGTGGTAGTTTCAGCTACGTACATTCACAAAACGGTTAATATTTTAACCTGATAAATTGCGAATTTAATGCGACAAAGGATGGCATAATCCTCACTCAAACGATTTTTTTCGCTCTCAAGGGCTCCCAATATCACGCGTGATATTGAAATAACATATCAGGTATGATGTTGATTTTACAAGTTCATTCGATATTGCAAGACACATGTTAATTTGTAGCTACGAGTTGACTAAACACACAAAAGGTTCCGTTGCACATCGTTTTCTTAACTAGAAAGAGAAAGCGTAGAATGCTATCTCTCTTTATTCTTCACAGACGGCAGATACAAAGTTACTGCTGCCAGCAATGATGGAAGCTTCGGTTCGTGTTCGGGTGTACAGCAAAAATCATGAAGCTCAAACTCACCACAATTTGGTGAGAATTGTAGCTGGTGAGTTTTGTTAGCCCGATATCAGAGCTACCGTATCACGGCTTGTAATATCATCCACTGTTGTTTGCTTGCTGATTATTGTTTACGATAATCAAATAATAATCTTTTGATATCTTCCCACCACTGCCTTAAAGTTTTCTTCAAGTCTGCAAGACCATGACTACCTATCGACCCATCAACTCATGAACTGGGAATCAACGGCTGAATGAAACAAGGCGTGAGCAGAGACTTTATGCCTCAGAAAATCACGGCTGTGCCGACTGGGATTGAACCCAGACCCAAAGGCAATTAAGCTTACCCCTACACCACCGGCGCCGCTTACACATTGTTGAGATATTGTTAGAAATCTAATACTGCTTCTTGACCCCAAACTTGGCCTGCGGATTCTAAAATCGGCCTAACGCATTGAAACACCATTGAAATGCATTTAAATTCACTTCGGCCTATCGGATGAAAATAAAAATTGATTCGGTCAGAGCATCACTTATGTTTTTGAGGGTGCAAACATTCATATCACACGTTCTTATTGACTTCGTTCGGTAGTTTTTGAACATAAGTATCGTAGCAAACGCATAATCTACTTGTTAACGCATGGTATCATGGTTTTATTTGATGTTTTTAGCTCGATAGGCCCAAATTGGGCGATTAGGCCAAAGTAGTTCTATACCCTATTTTAATAACACTCGATTTGTGATTTCCCTGTCATATACTTCAGAATATAATAGCACTGAAAGAAATGTTCGTACCGTTATTTGTGCACTTAAATTGACATGCGAAGGCTCGCCTTTTTTGGCACAAAAGACACTTTTTAAGGCCCACCCCATTCATAAAAACGGCGAGATATCCTGTTAGGGGCGGGGCATATAAAACTTTTTTTTTATGCCGAGTATGCAAAAAAGAAGGAATTTTAGATGCGAATCTAAATGCATATGGGTCATTCTGTGCCAAGTGACCGAGAAAAATTGCAAATGTGGAATTGACCTCTTCCGATTTGGACCAAATTTGGAGAGAAAGTTTTAAAAATCCAAGTTTCTGTGCTGATCGGAGTACCTTTTGGTCAAGGGAGTATTTTTTTGTATTTTCCGTAATATTTAAGAAAGTATTACATTCTTCTGTTAATATCTCGCGAACAAATGAAGCTACTGATAGCATTTGGTACTGCTTTCGTAAGTAAGAAATTTTATCAGGAGTCGGAGTCGAGAAGTCGGAGTCAAGAAGTCGCAGTCGAGAAATCGGAGTCGAGAAGTCGGAGTAGAGAAGTCGGAGTTGAGAAGTCGTAGTCAAGAAGTTGGAGTCGAGAAATGAGAATCGAGAAATCGGAGGCGAGCAGTCAGAATCGAGAAGTCGGAGTCGAGAAGTTGGAGTCGAGAAGTCAGAGTCGAGAAGTCAGAGTCGAGAAATCGGAGGCGAGCAGTCAGAATCTAGAAGTCGGAGTCAAGAAGTCGAAGTCGAGAAGTCGGAGTCAAGAAGTCGGAGTCAAGAAGCTGGAGTCGAGAAGCTGGAGTCGAGAAGTCGGAGTCGAGAAGTCGGAGTCCAGAAGTCGGAGTCGAGAAGTCGGAGTCGAGAAGTCGGAGTCGAGAAGTCGGAGTCGAGAAGTCGGAGTCGAGAAGTCGGAGTCGAGAAGTCGGAGTCGAGAAGTCGGAGTCGAGAAGTCGGAGTCGAGAAGTCGGAGTCGATAAGTCGGAGTCAAGAAGTCGAAGTCAAGAAGTCAGAGACAAGAATTCAGAGACAAGAAGTCAGAGACAAGAAGTCAGAGACAAGAAGTCAGAGACAAGAAGTTAGAGACAAGAAGTCAGAGACAAGAAGTCAGAGACAAGAAGTCAGAGACAAGAAGTCAGAGACAAGAAGTCAGAGACAAGAAGTCAGAGACAAGAAGTCAGAGACAAG